GACATAATATGTATTTAGTACATAATATGCGCCCATACATGACGTACCTACCCACTCTTTCACAGTATCCGCTGACCAATAGGATCAAGGAGGCCAAAGCGTTAACAACCTCAGGTGTAGAGTAAATTTCGAACTCGTTCCGGTGAAAAAGACCAAATTCATCTAATACATAATTTATCTCGACGCTTCCCCTAACGATCAGAAGTCGAGTGTCTTATTTATTGGGCTTTTAACGTGAAATCTCATTTTAACATTTTGCCGAATTTCTTCGAGAAAGGGGAATGCCTGCAAGGAGGATCGAATGATACACCGAACAGTTTTGTTTTGGTTTTAAGTGTGGGTTTGACTTCGACATGTAAAACATCCTTTCACAAACTCAGCTGAGAGCCAACAAAATTGCGATGTCTTCCGCTGCTTACACGCCGTTAGATGATACGGACACAGATGATCCTAAAAGGGGGCAAGGTAAATAATTTCTTAATGTTTTTTTTACTGGGTTTCGAGAATTAAGCTTATCTGAAATCGAATTTCAAAGGTTTTGATCTTGTACCGAACAGTGTTTGTAATTCAAATTTCATGAACAGACATGTTTTCCAGTACACATGAATGTTGATGTTAGTGTGTTCTAGTGCATTTAATCAACTAATCGAAGGCAAATTTATCGAAAACCTTGAGGTAATTCCCGGAAAGTAATATTTAAAATTAACCCATCATAGGAACTACAGCCAGTATTGAAAATGTCCGTATTACTTTGCCTTTGTAATTGTAGAAAAATGAAGAAATCATATTATGTAGGCGTTAAAATCAGTCTTGTGTGAAAAAAAGCTGACCAGCTCTTATAGAACCTTTTTTCAAAGCAATGGTCTATTTGAATGATAGTTTTCTTTCAATTTTTATCAAAATACAACAACGAATTGATGTTGCATGCGCGTTCAACCCACAGTTTTTGGTTCCATAAATAAGATGTAATGCCGGTTATATTGTCCTCTGCTACTGTTTGACGTCTTTCCCGTATTGTCGCAAGTAATTTGATTTTTTAGAGCATTTTAGTCTCGAAATTAAAGTGGACTTATTCGCGGGTACAGTGCGAAGTCGAAGTATTACAGGATAGTTTAGAGCATTTTGTTTATTAAAGAGACATTGCCCTGAGGATTTTCCTCTCTTGTCTTTGATATCGATTTTTTTCCTCTTCTTTTTCATCTTGTTGTCTAAAAAAATGTTCATCCATCAAAATCACTTCAAATTTCTTATGTATCTGTTTTAAAAGGTTATTATCACAACCAGATGAATATGCAACTGGTTAATTGGCAGACAATTCCATAATACACCAGATTTACTTTAGTCAGTGAATCTAGCTTTAACCCTTGGAAGAATGACCAACAAGGAATTTCTCCTCAAAATAGCAATACATTTTAAAGTAGATGGATGATGAGAAGAAAAGAATATATCAACTAGGGAATATTGATTGAATTAACCTTCAAACTCTTAGATCTGATGATCAATTCTCCCCTCTAGCTGCTACACATTTTCTTGTAAATTAGTGAGGAGAATGTGGTGTTTGTGAAAGAAATCTACTTCTACCTGACAAGATTGAATATACCCACTACTTGTTTGCTGGATAATGTAGGGTTATAATAGAGAGAAGTTACATGTTAATCACAAGTGGGAGTGAAAGGGTAAAACAACAATTCTGAGAGGTAAAATTATGTGAAATTTATGACAGACAGTACAAAGACATGATCTTTAGATTGAGGTAGTGAAAGGGTTAGATTAAAATTGTTTCCTTTTTTTGACCCAGTTACAGAAATTTTTTTCATGAGATTTATTGGAAAATTAATTGATAATTTTCACCTGTTTGCCTCCAGGGGGCTTATTAAGTGCCATTTTAAGTTATATACGTGGGTGTTAATGGAGAATGTGATTGATAGAAAAAAAATATGAGGTGATGATTCATGGCAAAAAAGAAATTTGGGAAAAATAGGATCATGTTGTATTGTAAATTGTTGAATAACTACTAGGCTGATTTTTTTGCTTTAAATTTTGAAGGTATGATCTAGGTACCTAGATAATTGAATGGATTCAGTCTGTTTTGATTTGTTGCAACTTTGTCAGTTACATGTATGAGTACATCTATGACCTTCTGCCTTCAAACTTTTTTTTTTGTTGAAACTTCAATGTGTGTATCTGTATGTTTAGTCTGACTTTATAGGACACTGTTGTTATTAATAACAATGTTTTTATAGTGTTCTACATGTATCTGTTCTAACACTCATAAAATAAATCTGCTTCTTGAGTATGGCATTTTGAAGTTTTGAAGGTATGAAGCAAATATTATTGACGATAATAGAAATTTTTCTCTTTTTAAAAGGGATTAAGAGGTTGGTTACATACTGAGTATGTTTTGTTATTCAGCGAGTAGAGTGATACATTACTGATCGTGCCTTGTAGCTTCAACTTACATTTTTTAACATATTCCTTTCATGAATTTTAGAAAATGAAGGGGAAGAAAGGAAAGGAAAGGGAGAAAAGTCAAAATTACAGAAAATAAAGGTATGTTTCTATATGCTATGCTGGTGTAATTATCAGTGATTTTTTTTATGTTTACATGTAGTTCTCTTAGCCTAAGGCTCATTAATGAAATTAGTCTTGGCAGAAGTTCCTTTTTTAGATTTTCAGTTCTTGCCTTGATGTTATAATGCTGTACATATGCCCAGTTAACTCCTATAAGTGACCAAGACAGAATTTCTCCTGACAGTATCAATACAATATCAAGCAGAAAAGTAATGAGAATAAAGAAAAATATCAGTTAGGGGGTCATAAGTTGATTCAATACCAAATTTTCCAAACTAACATTACAAGAACTGTATGGCAGATAGTAAGGAGAATTTCTAAGGAGGTCTCGGGAGTTAAAGAGTTAAAGTAAATGTTTGTGTATGGAGCAGCTGAAGTATTTCTATATAACACAGGGTTTAATTTTGTCCCAGAATTTAACAAGATAGAAATAATTTTTCTTACAGAATGTGTTTCACAAGACTGGTTACCCTAGTGCAGTGTGGTATATTTTGGGAAATGAGTTCTGTGAGAGGTTCTCATACTATGGGATGCATGGTAAGTTACATTGATTGCAATCTAGAAGATGAGTAACACCCCAGGCATTAAAATCATAGTTGAATAGTGTAATAAAAATTCTCCATCTAATTAAAATACTCCATGCAATTAAAATACTCTGTGCAAGGAAGTCTATTGGTGACATGACACAAACTTAGAATCTTCAGTTTAAATAGATTTAGTTGTAATGGTTTCATGTCTTTGGTGTTTAAATTTGTTTAGTTGGATAGCTTAATAATATTATTCATTTGGTATATCACTCTTATACTTGTTGTATATTTAGGAATCAGGTTATTGAATTTTTAATATTATTCATGTTATTAAAACTTTAAGTCTGTTTACCTTGATCAACCCTTTGACTCTCAAGATCTGATCACTAATTCTCCCCTCTAGCTGCTACACATTTCCTTGTAAATCAGTTATGAGAATTTAGTGTTAGATCAAGGTAACAACTTTTATCTGTTTTCTCAATACCTGTTGGCAGGATTGAGTATGGATATTATAGGGAGAAGTTCCTCATTATGTAATATATGTAATGTATGTAATTATTTTTCTATTTTCCCTTTACAGCCATTCTTGTCATCTACCTGACACAGATGTTGAAGATGGATGATGACTCTGCCACAGCAGTTTATCATGCCTTTAACATGTTGTGCTATTTCAGTCCTCTTTTTGGTGCAATGTTAGCAGACAGTCTGTTGGGAAAATACAAGTGAGTCATTTTACTATACTACAAAACGTCATATCACAAAAATAATACTTTTTGAAGATGACAAGTTGTGACTCATGCTTCAGACGCTAAGCGATCACTAGATAACAAGTAAAATTATTTGTGCACATGTAATTGTTTCTGAATTAAATTTAATGTGGAGGAAATATGATGCTCAAATGAATCTCTTTTTTCATTTACAGGACCATACTCTATGTTTCAATCATTTATGCCATTGGCAATGTCACTGTTGCTATCACATCAATTCCTGCAGTACTGGCAAAAGTAAAAACGTGAGTAAATTGTTTTTCTAATAAAATGCATTCAACAGTAAGTTACAGTAGTAGCTTAATGACTGGTAACCCTTAAACTCCCAAGAGTGACTAAGACAGAATTTCTCCTTACAATTCTGATGCAATATCAAGGAGACAAGAAATGAGAATAGACCAAAATTTCAGTTAGGGGATTACAGGTTGATCCAATACCAAATTATCCAAAGGAACATCAAAAGAATTGCATAGTAGTCAATAACTAGAATTTCTAATAAAATCTTGGGAGTGACGGGGTTAACAACCCTCAACAGATTGGTGACCTTGCATGGGACATGAATGTAATAATTATTATGTATTTTATAGTTGTTGAGTAAGTCTTTATTCCTTTAACCAGAAGAAGTGATTAACATGCACAGCTGTAACTTCTCCTTACACTTCCCTCAAGTTATCTTGTAAACAGGTTGTGAGAACAGACAAGTTCATTAGCCAGGGGCCATTAACTTAAATAAAGATCAACTTCTCCTTTTTAATCGACAAGCAAAAGTATGGCAGTTCATAGGAAGAATTACTAATTGGATCAAAAGGTTAAAATTCTGTCATTCTTAGATTCAGATGTTGTCAGACAGGAAGTTTAATAAGAGCTGGCAACCAGTGGAATTCACCATCTTTGTCATGCAAAATTGCCACCTATTTTCTTCACAGTTAACAACATCAGAGTAAAGATTGAACTTCCATTAGCTGCCTATTTTACAGATTTTTTCCTTCTACTTCAAAACTTATTAAAACCCCTGGTCTCCATTTTGAG